CCTCCCCCCCCACCTCCCTCCTCGCGTGCCGGCAGAGCACCGCCCACTTCCCCGCAGCCGCGCTGTCACGCGATGGGGCCGCCAGGCCTCGCGTGCGAGCCGAGCCCCCGCCCCCGCCCGCCGGCCTGGGCGAGCCGCCAGGGCGACCGCGGACCGCGACCGGGCGACGGCGGGCAGAGCCTGCGGCCCCAGCGCAGAGCCGGCCTTGCCACCTGCGCTGGGGCTCCTCTCCCGTCCCGGGCTCGTCTGCGGGTCGCCCTGGGAGGGGCGCCCTCTGCTCCGCGGGTCCTGCGGGGGCGCCACGGAGGCCCGGCCAGCCCAGCCCTCCGCAGGGGGAAGGCGGCGGGAGCAGGTGTCCTTCCTGGGGGCTGGAGGGAGGTGCGAAGTGCCCGCGGCCCCACAAGGCACCTTCCAGGGAGGACGGCCCAGAGGCCCGGGGCTGCAGGAGGCCCCTCCACGGCCGCCCGCTGGTCCTGCCCTGTCTGCAGGAAGCGGGCAAAGCCGGGCAAGCCGCGGGCAGTGGGCAGCGGGGAGAGCCCCCAGGCCCCGGCGCGCTGGAGCTGGCATCGCCCAGCTGTGTGCGGGCTCCCGGCAGAGCTCGGGCCACAAGCCAGGGCTGCCCACTCAGAGATGAACGGGCGGCGCCAGCTCGGCCCAAAGCCGGACCTGGAGGCCTGGGCGTCCTCTGTCTCCCGCCAGCTCCCGCTCCCCACTCTGCCAACAGGCGCCGGCAACCTCGGCATGTGATGGGAAGGCACCCGCGCAGTCCCGTGAGCTGCCCCCACCGTCAGGCCATCTGCCTGGGGCCTCGCCCGCGCTGGGAGCTCTCTGTTCTAACCTGGGGCCACTCCCCCTGCTCCACCAGAGCCCCTGAGAGTCCCTCCGGACACCTGCCCAGGGGCTGGACGGATGCCCCAGAGAGCCTGGCTCACATCCCCCAACACCTGTTCTCCCCAGAACCCCCAGGCACAGCGGCACCAAGCGAGCGCGAGACAGGGCCTCCCAGGGAAGGCCGGGGAGGTCGGGCGCTGCTTGGCAGTGAGGTGCTGGCCAGACACAGGCCTAACCTCTGACCCCTGCTCCCAGGTCCCAGCTGCTTCTGCAAACCCCTTTGCAATTTCCACGTCAAATTAAAGGACCAGAGCCTCATCGCTTTCAAACATTCAAACTCTCCCTTCCTTTGCTTCTCAAGAACTGAAAGATAAATGGTTTTGCTTCCAAAGATGAACCATGAAACATACATCCTGCAAGAAAATGCCATTGAGTGATTCTCGGTGGCTGCAAATCGAAACGCCTCACATGGCAGGTATCTCCTGAACTGGCGTTGTCTGTCCTGGCTTCTGCGCGGGACAGGGTTGGAGGAAACCTGAGACCATCTCAAAGGCCGTCTGTGCAGACGAGCCCCTGAGAAGGCAGTTCTGGAGGAGCAGTCGGGAGCGCCTGGGGGGTGACAAAGACTGAGAGTGAAGAGGAGCCCACCACGCCTGGAAAGGCGCCTGCGGCAGATACAGCCGCTCCCGGGGGCGGGTCTGCAGGCCGGTTCATCCGCAGGGAGCCGTGCTCCGGCCTCAAGAAGCCGGCGGGTCAGCACTGCTGGGACAAGGCCACCCCGTCATGCTGTCAGGGCAGGGACCAGGACGCAGGGCCCTGGAGAACCCCAGGCCTCCTAGAAGACACCAGACACCTGGTGAGGGAGCAGAGAGCCGTTCAGACCCCGCCCTGCGCGTGTGGGACTGGGCGCCCCCATCCACAGAGAACGGCCGCCTCCATCCCGGGAAGGGTGGATGAGCGTGTCTCACGCACGCTGAAAAGGCTGGGGGGTCCTCCCTTCCCTGCACAAGGTGGGGCTCATCTGCTTCCCAAAAAGAGCGTCTGCCCACGGTGGACCTGTGCCCTGGGACCACACGGTCCAAGCCGGCCAGCAAAGGCAGGGGTTTCCAGAGGAGGCGCAGGGATGCAGGGACGCGTGTGGCAGGGATGGGCAGGTGCCCCGCAGCCAGGTACTTCACCTCTTGTCACCTCAGGTGAGCCAGGTGAGCACCAGCAGGTGAGAAGACAGGTGAGGAGGTGCAAAGGGAGGGGCAGCGACCAGACCACAGGGTGTGGTGGGAGGGTCGTGCTCCCCTATGCTGGGCAGGGGCCTGGGGGCCGCTTGTCACCGCATGTCCCCACAGTGCCACTCCGGAGTTTGAAAATTTGAAGACGGGTGCCCAGGAGTCAGCATGGGTGTGTGTACACATGTGGGTATGTGGGGGCGTGCGTGTGAATCTGTGTGTTGGGGGCCTACGGCAGCAAGAGCGGGAAGAGAGGACCTGAGAACCAACGACGCGGCACCGCGCTGGCCATGCCGTGCGGGTGCCTGTTAACCACGCGTGAGACGGTGCTCGCGGCGGGCGGGGCAGGGGTGAGTGGTAGAAAGGGCCCTGCAAGTGGGCGTTGGTGTCGGCACTGTGGGCCAGAGGGGTCAGAAATGCCATTCGAAGCCCCAAATCGCTGAGCCCAGACAAAACAGGAGTACAAACATGCTCATTTCACACACATATGACATTTAGAAATCAGGGCACAGTCCACGATGTATGTTGCATCATGTTGTTGCATTTCGCATAGAAAGATCTTCCAGAGTTTTCAAAATGCACCAAGCTACAGAGATTTCACACTTCCATGCAGCTCAAAAAAAACAACAAAAAAAAATTCGTTTCCTCTGAGGCAGCAAAGCGCAGGGAGGCGGCAGCTGGCAGTGCCCACACATCTCTGGTCGAGAGAATGCGCCTCTAACCACTCTCTGAGGTCACACACCGGGAGCCCTGGGCTCTGCAGCACCGCCAGTCACACGCCCGTCCTGCACAGGACGTGCACGCCTGCCTTAAACCCCGTGTTATCATGGGAGACGCAACCAAAAATAGCTCTTTGGGGAAAAATATTTGTGCACATTGTAGGCCCATACTCTCTTCGTGATGTGAAACATCTGGCATAAGCAAACTATTTGGGCATCTTTGTTAAGTTTCAACATTTCAAAGGAAAGTACAGCAGTCAAGCCAAGGGTTCAAGAAACGTTTTGTAAAACAAAACTCAAAAAAGGGCTGGTGCTTTTTAAAAACCAAATATTTACTCAGTTGATCAATGCAGGCACACGGCGTAAAGAAAAGGACGAGACACCACGCAGGATGCTAGCCTCACCCCCGCGTGCTGCCCTGGCCCTAGAGTTCAGACAGGTGCCATTCCAGCCTCTGTCTGCTGGTGAGGGCGCCGAGCCCCTGTGAGTCCTGTGCCACCCCCCTGCAGGTGCGGACGCTGCCTGGCTCCCACCCTGTCACGCACAGGAGTGCCCAGCTCAGCTGGCCAGAGTATCGGTGCGTCTGTAAGCAATGAATCTACGCAGTCGCATAACCGTGAATCTGCAGACAACCGACCTGGAGTTGGCCCGTCAGTCGCCATTAGCTTCAGTCTCCTCAGACAGGTCAGTCACACGTCACGGTAATGTATCAGCTCCTTTCAGAGTCTTGCAGTATTCACCGTCAACAGACACGGCCCGAACTGCAAGAGTCTCAGTGCCCTCACGCTGTCCCGCTGCACGGGGGCCCCGGGAAGGACGGCGCGCGGACACCCACGCAGCCACTCGCTTCTGCAGCGTCTCTCACTGCCAGTCCCTGTGCTGGGGGCGCAGCGGAGAACAAGACAGACGAACCCGGCACAAGCTAAGTGCAAAGGAGGAAGACAGAGCAGGAGATGGGGGGAGGTTCTGTCAAAGCCTGGGGCAGAGGTGACGATGTTGAGAGTGTGGCCGGGGGCCAGGTGCGGGGGCCATGGCTGGAATTCCCACTGCTTTGGGAGGCTGAGGCAGGAGGATCACGTGAGCCCAGGAGTGCGAGGCTGCAGTGAGCTATGATGACGCTGCTGCAGTCCAGCCTGGGTGACAGAGCAAGACCCTGCTCTAAAAATAAACGTGACCAGGGAGGCCACCTGAGGGGCCCCGTGGGGCCCTGG